GTAGCTCATATTCTTGCGGCACCTCATCCTTCTCTGGCGTCTCAGGCTGTTCTTCTTCCGAGCTAGACTCACCCTCTGTCATACCCGGGTTACCGTCACGAGTCGATCTTTCGCATTGTGTACATGACTCAGCATTTTCTTCGTTCGGCCAACGGCACACTTCACATGTCCATTGGGGCATCTTGGTTATGATGCTAGGGTGGAGCGAGGTGGAAGCATGCAAGATGCCATAAGTGACTGCGAGAGTGCACGCGTGTGGGCATCTTGATGAAACGGTTCATGCTGGGAGCTGTTCACTTTGCTTGCACAATGCTCATTGTCCAGACTGCATGAATCCTTTGTCGTTGTCGATGCGGTACAAAGCACTTGACGATAAGTGCGCATCAAAAAAATGTAACAACCTAGACGCGAGCTTGGTCTCTGAGGAATGGACGCTCTTGGCGTACGCCTTTGTCTTTCTGACTTCAGAAAGATGGTCCCTTCTAGATGTTTAATATGGGAGTGAACGCCATCGGACCTCTGCATGGTCTCGCTAGCAACTGAGAGAAGTGAAACTAGATCATCTGACATCTGTGAATGTGTCAGTTGCTCTCATCACATAACCCCGTTGACCTCCATCTCTTCTTCTTGAACACAAAGCAGCCTTGACAACTCTACACTCTCTGCCACGAAGCAGTACAACTCACTGCTAAGTCTCAACATGCCCCTTTTCCCCATCGAACCGTGCGATGAGGAGTACGTAGTGCCGTCATACATACCAAAAGGTGCACCAAGAGGCCCAGCTGCCATGCGAGTGTCTCGTCCAACTCAAAACGAGGCCCATGATGAAATCAACGACTGGCTAGAGTCTGGACTACAGTCGTATACGGAAGAAGGTCAGCGCATGCGTGATGCGGCGAACGGCGTCCATCTACCAAAGCGTTCGACCGTGCTACCCAGCGCTATCGATCTGGGTACTAGACGTGAAGAGCCCGAACAAGCTTCGCCACCTCCTGCGTACCCTGAAGAACCTTCCGTGCCGCTCAATGAAGACCACGTGATCGTTCCATCCCGCTCACGCGCATCCATGCGGTGTGGTGGTATCGTTCGCCACATCGCCATCAGCGGTGACTACAACAACATCCACTTGAACACCGGTACCGGGCAGCAGAATATCGCGCATTACGATTATCGCAAGTACCGAGATGAAGAGAATGTTCAAGATTATCAGGTTGCTGTGAACGGCGGCGGCGAGGAAGGCTACGATGGTGCGAACGAGGGCCGCAACGACCACGAAAATGGTCGGGATGATACCCCAGGATATCGTTCGCCAATAGGCGGCCGAGGGGACCGAGATAATTGGGGTGAGGATCGCTACGATGAAAGGTACGACGGTCGTGATAATCGCCAATATGATGATTACGATGAGAGGTACGAGCGTCGTGGCCGTCGCAACACGCCTGCACGTGACAGCCGGGCTGGTGCGCGCTACGATGACGACGACGGATACCGAAGTGACGGAGGTTACTATAGCTATGGTGATGAGAGTGAGTACAGTGACTGGTAGGTCGAGGGTAGTGTGCGCATCTCGTTCATAGAGACTGTAGTGTTGGTCGACGGCGGAAGAGCTGTCCGCCTGCACGATACGCGTAATGGCTTTGGAGGTGCCGAATCAGATTGGTCCATAGTGAGACAAACAACTGTATAATTATTGTAATGCAACGCAGATTCCTAACAACATGTTGATACCTTGGCTTCTTCCACGAGATGTAGGTTGAGGAGGGAGAAGATCGGGAAGGCACCGTCGTGAGACGACGCCGAAGCAAAGGCCACCCCGCTTACGTAATATCGCGTCAAGTGTCATTCACCCGCCATGCATCCGCGCCTACCTTACCTCTTTTCATCTACAGTTGTCATAACTTCATCTCCAAACGCCACGTCTACAATGCGCGATACCTACATGGATGTTGCCTCATCATACCGTGCACTCTGATCGTCGACGAGCTCGGCTCGCGGCCCCGAGAATCCTCAATCGCAGCTTTTCAGCCCCTATGATGGCCTGAGACTATCTGCATTGTTCACCCCAGCCTCTCAGCATTATTGCTTACAATGCAGCATGCCACTATCTATACACATGGCACGCCCCGTGATCGTTGCTCTACCGTGACGGTCTGAAGACCAATGAACCACTTGTTTCCACCCACCTACCTGCATGAAGTCTAAATCCTCAGCGGATGCTGGCACTTCAGTCCGGTGCGGTCGGCCTCTCAGATTTTCTACGTTTCTTGCTGGAAGGCGATCCTTCGGAGCTACTTTTCCTCTTCTCTCCCGACATTGCTTCACCAGCACTCGAAGTATCGGCCGCCTTCCCAGGACCGACAACTGATTTGGACGTTTTCGGCCGTGCTTTGAAGAAATAAGCAATCGACTTCTTGCCTCCGCGTGGCGAAACTCTGACAGGGGGATTGGGTTTGACTGTGTCTTTGTTATCGTTCGCATCTGGTACCTTTTCCGGTGGTCGCGAAAACTTGATACCATCCGAGGGCTTCCAAAGATTGACTTCTGGGCCATCGTCTTCTCTGGCTCTCGATTCTGGGTTGGGCCCCGAGCTTGGCTTCAGCTCCTTGTCGGCAGTTACACCAGTGTCAATTCCTTGAACTACGGAGGATGCAGTCCCTGCATCTAAACGCTGCCCCTGTAAGCGCTCACGTGTTGCGCGCATTAGTTTGCCAGCGTCACCTTTCACCACGGCGTCTTTCGACAGGTCTCGGGATGCATCAGTGTCTATAGAACTTTCCGTACGACCTGCCGAACTGGCCGAGCTCAAACGATCCGGACTGTCTTCGACAATGACCTGCTGCGGTAATGGATCCGCAGTAGTCAACGTGCGCCAAGCTCTTATACGGCTGTCGAGCTTGTGTTGGTCGTCTCCGGTGGCCCTGCGGTTCACGGCATCTTTCTCCATGATGATACCGGTATCACAACTCTGCAGATCGATAGACTCTACGAAGTCAATGCAATTCTTGGGAATTCCGAGTTTGCGAGCTTCCTCATGAGCAGCTAGGTAGTCAGTTCTAGCGGCCTGCAAGCTTTTCTTGTCAAGTATCACGTCTCTGAGAAATGCTTTGTTGAAGTCCTGCCTGATGCTGTTGGAGGACCTCGAGCCATTTGAGTTTCGTACGGCCTTAAGGTACCTAGCTCCTTCTCGATCGTAATTATGGCAATAGTTCTCGCATCGATCCCGGGCCCGGAGAAGATCTTTATGACGACGTGAAAGTCTCGCTATAGCACTGAGACCTGCACTATACGGATCAACAAGTTTCCTCTTGTCAAAGGGTGTCTTTGTCTCTGCTCGATGAGCACTACGCCGATTATTGTTCCGTTCTGGCCTCTCTTCCCCACCCTCACGTTGGCTTATCCGGCCTGCCATCTCCTCCCGATTATCCTGGTTCTGACGAGATGAGCTTTGGGTTCTTTGCCTCGGTAGTGCTCGGGCTATCTTTCGTAGAGGCATATGTGCATCTGCCCACACTTGCTTCAACAACTTCTCTACGTCCTGCCAGCGAGCTTTTAATCCAAAATCATTACTGCTCCACTGACCCTCTATTAGCCTCATCGTTTCTTCGGCGATATTCCGAGCCTCGAGTGCGCGTCGACGATGTGATTCCAAATCTCTGTACTCAGCCTGGTCCTCATCTTCAACTTGTCCTTCCCTTCTCAAATTGGCAAGGCGCCTTTCGATTCTAGCCACAGCCTCGGTGTGATCGACTTCTAATGTCTTGGCTCGCTCATGTCGTTCCTGCCCTGCCAAGTAGGTCTTACGACATATCTCGGCGAATTGAAGCGCGCGTTCTAGTGACGTTGCAAGTTCAGGTGACAGTCGGATAGCCAATTTCGATTCTTCCCTCTCTTTGATCGCTATAATAGCGGCGGGTCTACTGGAAATGAGTCTCTCTGGGTCATAATCACCCTCTAGCTGCCAGGGTCTAGCCTCAGCTCGAAATGGTGAGGCTTTGTCACCAGTTTGGGATCTTCCAGCAGCGCTTGATGGTAGCTCTCCACCTCTGGCCTCCGAACTCACACTCGTGTTGCTATCGCCTCCATATCTAAGACCTGCTCTCCGTGGGCTTGAAGCAGTTGGGTTGTGACGTACCCGCGATTCGTCACTATTGTAATAGTGATTGGTTATGTTATAGACGTTCATTCTGCGTCTGGATTTGTATGTATCGCCCTTTTCTCTCCTTCCGGCGGGATGGAAGTCGGCGGTTAAGTTTTTCTTTCGGCCATGACGCGAAGTGGTCCTAGCCATGGCTACCGTAATGCGTGTGTTCAATGGTTGAGTGGCTGGGGCGATCTTTTGAGACACCTGAAGGCTTATGACGAGGGGAAGGTGTCAGGATGACAGTAGAGTGAGGCTTGCTAACAGATCTACAGACAACACTGGACTTGCCGAACGAACAAAGGGCCGTTTCTTTGTTGAAGTCTCCAAAATTGTCCATACAGCCGGGACCACTAACAGAGCCATTGTTACGAGTTCAATCATGACGATGCTTGGCTATGATTTACTAAACTGTTGACTTCAGGAAGTGGTTGCTTTCACGGTAGTCTGTGGATAGAGATGCAACACGAAATACGGGTACATCGAGATATATGGTCTGCCATGGAGACCTCGGCTCATATTGCGATGTAATCGTACGTATCAGTTGACATGTTTGGCAGAGTCTTCTCATCGCGTTCATGTCTTCCTGCGCGCGTACGCTGGGTGGATCTTTCACTGCCTGATCGCTAGCGTGGGCCAAGCCTTTCGGGTCATAAGTGGTCGTGCACCAGCTCATAGACTCTGCACCCACCAACGCCCAAGATCAATTGCAAATTGCTAACGGAAGCTCCTCGGCGCAGATACTGCGTCTCGAGAGCGATGCTCAGCGGTAAGTAGCTCACTTCGCTGCAAGCGGCTGTTGCATTCTTCACATGCTGATGTCCGTATCATCGGCGTAGACGAACCGCATCGACCAGGAGCTATGGCTGACTCCGCTGGTTCTGGTATCTCGCACGTCGCAGATAGTCCCAAACGCGACGACTTACGGCAGCCCGCACCGCCACGGCAGCGAGATCGCGAGGCACTGTCGACTCCGAACGGAACTCCACCGATCAGTTCATCACGCGACATTTCCGATTCGGCAAAGAAAATAGTAGGCGACGTGGAGTTCATCGGAGCTACTGGCGCGCGGCCTGCGGCTTCCGCGAAATGGACGAACGACCAACTTTTCTACGACGACGAAGGCGGAGATATCGGGCTGCCATACGACGAAGATGCTGGTCTGATTAGCCATGATCACGTTAATACATATAGCGACAACGATACATTCGCTTATTCGACTAACGACACGAAAACCGCATGTGGGGCAGCCACGAAGACGGAACCACGTTCCTACGTGGTGGAGGATTACATGTGGGAGGTCAACCCCCCAATGTCTGCACAAAATCGTCGAAACGTTCGCCCTGGGGACATCATCTTGGCACCCGACCCACAACAAGCATACAATCCACGATGCCTAAGCGGTATACCGACACACGAAGGCCTGGTGTCTAACAAGCTTCGTCCCATGACCGTCATGAAAACTCACGAAGACGAAGACAATTTACCGGAATCTGCGACTTGTCTACGCCATTATACGTACCAAAAGAAAGGTCCCTCTAATTTGATGTCAGTAATTGAACTCAACAAGCTATTCAGATTGCTCGAACCAGGTAGTTACGAGGAAACAGGTCTCAGCGTGAACCGGCCTGTTTATGAAACGTTCTTCAGAGATACCATCGACCCTCATGCTTACATTCACGGTGGCGAGTTGGTGCTAGTACGCCTGACAGACCGAGTCCGCATCCTTGGCGAAATCGAGGTTTCTGATTGGGCGAGGCTAGACGTCTTCTCCAAACAGCAAGGAGAGCGCTCAGTAGACAAAGTGTATGCCCAATACCCAGAACTACGTAAGCAGGCTGAAGAGGAGGTTCGTGAGGCTTCTATTCGCGCTCGCGAGCTCCAGAGTAACTATTACAACACTAGAGCTGCTCACAGCCGGAAGAGCAGTGAAGGTATAAAGATAATACCCCATCAGAAAGCCATCAGCGACTAGCTACTTGTAAACTGTACTAACTCTTGTTATTCACAGATCACAGTCGGTCAAGTCATACGCCATCATCTGACAGGCGCCGTCGCCATAATACTCGAAGTCGATCTCCCTCCCCATATCGACATCCGTCCAACCGCCCAGAGCACACAACACGCATGCGATCGCCACGTCGAGATGCTCGCGACGACCAGAACTGGGAGGCCAAGCAAGACAATAGTTATGAGAGCTCTCGTGAACGTTCGGCCTACCATATCCAGGGACCTGCCATCACTGATCCCTATTTCCAGTCGTAGGGAAACACCACACTCGCAACTTCTAGACAAGGTACAAGCAGCCGCCAGAGCCGTAGTCGAGATTTAGACCGTGTAGACCGGGACTTTAGATCGAGACCACAGGAATCGCGAACTGAACGGTCGGATGGACGAGATCGGCGTTCACGACACGGGAAGAAACGCAAGGGTAGTCGTCGGCGCTAGGGGAATGGCTTGCAAGAAACACTGAAGCGGCTGCGAAGAGGCTTTGAGGATTGGTGCGACATGCTGACGATTTCACGGACAGGATCTTACTGGTTAATCTTGATGCGAGATATGGGTGTTTCATGGGTATACGTTCCGCCACGTAGTGTTGGTGCGAAACATGGGACTTTTCACGGGCATATGGCTCACTGTCCAGCGAATGTCTGACGATCTTGTGTTCAGCAGAGTATCTGGCAGATCTGCGTTTATCATGATAGGAATGGCAACAATGAAGTTGATTGTCTATCCACTTGCGGCTAGGCTAAGCCTACCGAGCTGTCTTCTTCTATCTGGTTATGCCCTCGTTCTTTGATAAGTAGCTACCACTACTACATCGATCGAGGTATCGTGCGCCTAAATCAGGACCTTCCTAATCCCAGAAACGCTCCACAATCTCTTTAGGCAGTGCGCCAATTCTCTCCTTCGTCTCATATACCTTGATATCGTCACTGCTCATCGCTACAAACACCGCAGACTGATGCTCAGTATCCTCCCCGACGGTCTTCCGCAACAGCTGGAGTAGTGTCACAACCTTCTGTAGCGCCTCTTGGTTGCCCTTCTCCCACTTCTCGAAACCTTTGAAGCTGTCTGACTTGCTGCCAGCTTGGGTGACTTCCTTTATCCGGATGTCCTTTTGCCTATATGTTCCATCAAAGTGCGCGTTGTGTTTCCCGCCGAGACAGCAAGTAGGAGTTCTGCCAAACCACATCTGATCGATTGGTCGCGAACTTGCGTTGCTTTTCAGCTCCAGGATCTGGTATTGCGGTACCACCTTACCCTGGACAAGGATAGCAGTCTTCTGTGGGCCTTCATGCTGAATGGTTCCGACGTCGTGCTCACCAGGGGCAAAGGTAGGAAGAGTACTCGGTGGTGCATCGGGGTCTCGCCGCGACTCGATAGTGGGGTCGTATGCGTCGACCTCATGGCGTACGACTATGGTGAGGCTACCAAGCTTGTACTTGAGTAAGCGATGATGGCTCGTTGCGCCGTCAATCTCGGAGTCTGTGAGGGCGCTTTCGAAGTTACGACCGTAGGTGTTGGCAGCGGACCTAACCTTTGCGTTGCGTACTTTCCTTCCGATAAAGAGAGTGTTCTTCTCGAAGTCGAGATCAAGATGAAACGCTTGGAAGGAAGCGTTCTTGACGCACTTCATCAGATTCAACATCGTAGTGCGGTTGATCACGACATCCACGTCGTTGAAACTGGTGTCAGGGTTCATCGTCGCGATGGCCTGGAAAGCGGGCTCGTATTGTTGTTGCGGAGCGCGTTCTGCATGCTCGTCGCTAAAATGGTAGCCAAAGTCGGGCATAATCTTGAGAGGAAAGTCTCGAGGGTTTGGCATCTTGAACGTTGGCGGCGATCCTGGGACAGAAATCGTGGACGTTGCTTCGTCCATGAAGCTGTAGCTGCAGAGAAGTGCGTACCCCTCAGCCGAGGAGATCTCGTCCGAGCTGGGATAGATATCTTCGTATGTACCCTGCCATACGATCCTGTCTGCGTTGACATTGGCGTACATATGGGAGTACCATTCTGCGCCCTTGGGCTTCGAGAATGTCTTGAGGTTCAAGTCTATGTAAACGCGCTTGCCGCTGGTCCTATCTATATAGTGCGTCCCATGGACTGATGATGTAGAATACACGGGGGTTGAAGAAGCTCGAGGGCGTCCGAACGCAGCTGGCGGGGCGGTGGTGTCCATATCTTTCGGGAAAGCGCTTCGGTCCATGTCTCGGGTGGGGGTCGATCAAAGTACTTAAATGAGTAGCTGACTCTGTTGGTGGACGTTGGGTACCTAGGCAGATAGGAAGAGTTCTTGTAGTATATAAAGACCGTGAGCGAGAACTCAGTGCCTAGGCACCAGAAACGCTGAGTGGCCATCGCGCTGGCACGGACACATATAGTGAATGCCAGGCTCATATGGAGGGTTCTTGCTTGGATTAGCTCGCAGGAAAGAACGCAAGAGCCCCATATACTATATGTTCAGATGACCAAGCGATTGCGAAGGCCGTCATGGCTATACGTTAGCAAGCAATTAGACTTGAGATCATTGCGAAATGCTCGGAGATGTTATAACAGATAACCCGAAGATGTCTGAACGCGTCGTGAAACTCCATTAACGTCTTGAGTAGCAGCTAGTTAGCCCCGTTTTGGTCGCTATAATTTGCGACTAGAAGTCTTGAAAAAGTCTGTGACTGAACGTCGCTTATACTTGGCAACGACGTCGTGCCTTTGATCGCGGTCCATGTTAGCAAAGCGCTGTAGGTCAGTTTGTCGTTGTGCTCTTTGAGGATGTCGGCCTTCTTTTGGTCGTGAGGCTTGTCTAACTCTATTATCTCGAGTTTTTATCGAAATTTGTGACACCGTTGGACTGTTTTGGGTGCGATTTCGTCTCCTTGTCTTGTGGCCTCTGCCGTTCTTGTTATCACTGTCGATAACCAGTTCATTTTTGGTTGTTTTGTGTTGAACAATTGGATCGTTGAGGGAAACAGCCTGGCTGCGTCTCGTTCGCCTTTTGTCGACCAATCCTGGACGGCGAACATGGTACCGGTTTCTACCGCTCTCTTCCCGTGTTCCTTCGTAGCATCATTTCCACCGCACTCTGGCTCGCTCCGGATTGATGTCTTCCTGCGCTGGTGGTAGTTGAGCTAGCATGGTAATGATGATGATGGGTGTTGTAGATGATGATGCCATGTTTTGCGACATAGCTGTGGATTTGCTCGCCAGTTGGAATGGGCTGTTCAGATGCGGCTGACGTACGGTTCTCCATGCCGCATGTATACCCTGCCACTCGATGAAGTGAAACCCACGACGAATTTCCTCCAGTGTCGCATGTTCTAGACATGTAGCCAACAAGGGCTGGATACATGGCCCGGTACAAACACACAATACTGCTCTTGATGTCCTTGTCTGCTCAACCCTCTTTGTCTATGTAAGCAAAGTGACGCCACTTTGACACCAAATCTGCGAAGAAGCCTACGTCAATTAGACTTGCTCAGTCTGTTAAGCAAGTAGTTTGAGATGCAACGACTTTACATGTCTTATCTATTGCATGGCGGAGTCAATCGTCCCAGGGCTGCATTCTGTGTCTGTGCATGGGACCACACCGCAACCACGTTGGCGCAGTACACCCTCAAGCGCAGAGCTACAGCCATTTCGTGAGCGCGATGGCCGTCATGAAGGCAGTGACCTGCAACGCTACCAACCTCGCACCTATGAGGACAAGCGTACCAGACGTGCGCAAAGAGGTGACTGGCCAGACAGCCGTGACAGAGGGGAGCGTCACACGGTACAGGAGTCGAGACATGGCGAGCGGGACCATCGATCTGACCGTGATACGGACCCTATGCCTCTTAACAGATACTATGCGAACAGTGAGGATCGTAGAAGCGATCGCCGGTATGATTCGCCGGGTGGTAGGGAATAAGGACGTGGCGGTAGGCCTGGCGCTTGGGGACGTCGTACACAGACGGGTAGAGACCGGGGAGGAAGAGGAGGAAGAGAGGGATGAGCTCACTACCACCAATACGTCGTAAAGGACTTGGCATGTGCCCATGCCATCAAAAACGAGTAGATGCATAAGACATACGGATTGCGCGACGGATCTCTTGGGTCGTCTGAATGTCAAACACGTGAAACAAGTCCTCCTCAATCTTGTATTATCGTCATTTACTGGAGTAAAAAAGCGGTTTTGAATGGAGGCGTTGGACTGAGATGAAGCACGAACAAAGGATGGCGACGCGACGCGACACGTCATACTGTAGATTAAAGACCGCGCTGTGCTCAAAGTGCGATGACGCGCCGGAATTCCGGAGCTTTGCCGTTTGAAGCCAAGCGTTGGCGCTTGGGCCACATTCCCGAGGCCGCATGTTGACTGTGTGAACTTCTACACTTCAAGCCTCTATTACGTTCACCTTTTGCCTCAGTCCATCTCCAAACAACCACATGCTATACGGAAGGTATACATTTACATCTCCGTATGTTGTACCTAGGTATGGACAGCGCTACGAGCATCGCTCGTGCCGACCGCAGCCCCTAATGCAAGAGTCGCCTGAGAAATGCTTGTGCATCACGGCTTACCATGAAAAGAGACCTCCACATTGTTGCTGTTTCTTACACCGTTCTGCTAATGAAACATTAGATGACCTATGTGTCTGTCGTACGCTATAAGGCATATTTAGCACCAAGCAAACAGCTTCCTCGTATACGACCCATCATGGCATCGGCATCGGTCGATCCCGACTCGTTCTCCAGATGTTCACACGATGCGTCCATTCCTCCAATCCTACCGAATTTCAAGCTGGCCAAAGCGAGTTCCTGCGCGTGACAGGCCCACGATTGTACCGAACGCCCGCGATCGATATCGACGTCACCTATACATCCTCATACCACCCAGACCAACCTTGTGTCGCGGCAATATGATGCCCACAAGCGTTTGTTGGTTTCGCACACTACTAGCCCGCTTCCTCTTGCTCGTCACCATTTGATGCAAGCAGCTCTTCGTACTCCCATACTCCCATCGCTCTACCCTCTATCTCTCGTTCGCTACAAATCCTTCCACCTGGGGCCCATCAGGCCCATATCCCTGTGCTTCACCGCCACTTGGGGAAGCAGCAAAGTCGTTATGCTGCGATGGCCTGACACTTTAACAAGTTCACGACCGTGCTCAGTATTCTGGCTCCTGACCGGGTTGTTCGGATCGACATTACGATGCTCAACAATCACCACCGCGGACGTAGCTACCCCACTTGTCGATGCGTCTCCGCCTGCTTCCGTAGGCACGCTCGCTACCGGTTATAAGGACGTCACGCTGGTCGAGCGAATTGTCCCTGTCTCTCTTTCTGGAGACCGGAGGCGGCGGGATGTTATACTTCTTCATATATCCCTTCAGGTCTGTTTCCAACTGCGAGTTCATGTCCTCGCCATTCTGCCTCTTCTTTGGCTCCAGAATGATAGCCTGCTCTGTCCTTCCCTTGCTCGTCGATGGCTCTTCAGGACCCTGGTCAGTGTTCTGCCCACCAGGGTTTGACTTGCCTGCCACCTGGTTGGCTATGGGGCTTGGCAAGATGTTCGCAGCTTGCGAAACCACTCGTCGTGGTAGGTCTATCGCCTCTGCCATACGATCCTCGGCACTTACGTCTGCAAAATCTTCAGGGGGAACAGAGCTTGCATGTACCGCTGAAGTTCGCTTGTTGGCTTCATCAGCTTTTGTCCCAGTAGCTGCGCTTGCCCGTCCGGGCTTGTGTGCTTGCGTACTGGTCAGCTCACTGGCGCGATCCAGAGCCCCTGTTACTTCAGCGAGAAGTTGTTCTATCTTTTGCAAGGGTGTGGCTTTCATGTTTGAGACATGGAGAGCTGGTAATGCCGCCATACCTTCAGACCCAACGACTGGCTGCCTTTCTGAGGGGTTCACAGGTGCGCCGCCCGGACTATCGATCGCAGGCTCTGCCGTCTTCTTCTCAGGCTGGACATCTTTGCTCTGCTGTTCGAGCTCCGCCTCATCTTTTCCAGCAGGGTGTGTTGGTCCTAAGTCACCGAGAACAACGTCGTTCTGCCACCTTTCGATTCTATTCCGATCGAGTTGCTTCAGCGACGTCTTGTCCCACCACTCTATATCATATGCAAGGGTTCGCTCTCCGTCGTCCATACTGTCTGCCACGGTGACATTCGCAGCTCGTGCCCTGTCGTACGCATCCTGTGCAGCCTTCTCGGCCTCCTCTAGCGTTACGATGACGTCGTGCCAGCCTTCAAGCCACTTATGACTGAATTCGATGCGAAAGTCAACATTCGGACGATTGACCTGCTTGGCGGTATACTCCTTAAGACCTTTTTCGTATCCTTGCCGATATTCGTCGTGCTTTTCGCGAGCTACTTGCATGGCGGCTTTGGTGAACCTGTTGCGCATAGCAAGACCGAGGCGTGGAGCTTCATCAGATGGCTGCATACTGGTCGGTCCTGTTCCCTGTATCTGCGGTACAGGATCTGGGGTGACAACATCCTTGTCGCCGTTCAGACTCTGGTCCCATGGCAGACTCTCTAGCTCTGTTGTCTCAGAAATGAGCTTACGTTTCACGAAAACATCCTCATGGATAGCCTCTACCTCTTTTACACGTTCGAGCCACGTGTTCTGTAATCCTTGCAGATATTGTGGCAATTGCTCCCGTTCTTTCTTCATCGCTGCGCGCTGGTGCCCTGGTTCGTTGCACCGCGCTACCATCGCATGGGCCTTGGTTGACTCCTCTGGCGTGAGCTCCCGCTCTCCGAAATCACCGAGATATTTTTCCAGCTCTTCCTTGGCGCGCATCTGTTCCGCATATATGCGAGCGTCTGCTGCAATTAAGTCATTGGTCCGCCTGTCGACCGCCTCGCGTGTAGCTCGGAGTTTGCGGCCAGCCTCGATCTGCGTTATCATCTTCCGAGAAAGCTCGTGCGAGAGCTGTAACGCAAGAGTACCTCCTTCTCCACCTGTGCTGGTGATTCGTATGATGCGAGCAGGTCCATGAGTATACATGCGATCATCATCAACTTTTCTTGGTAATGTCTGCGCCTGATATATCCCTGATTGTTCGATGAGGTCACACTTGTCAAGCTTTCCCGGTGTACCCCCCTTCGATTCCACTGCGAGATTGTTCGAAGCTATCGCGGAGGACGTAGGATCAGGCGGACGCCAAGCGCAGCGATTCTCTCCATTCCCAAGCGTCGAAGAAGGACGCGTCTCGTCACGAATAA